GATAGTATTGACCAGATAAGGGCGTGTGTTCATTACTCTCAGTACTTTTTCATTCGTAGTTCTGCTGGTCCAGCTTATTCTTAACATTCTGCGGTACATTCACATTTCAAATGAATTTAATTTTTTGACGTCATACTATTTTAATGTCCGGTCTCACAGCCATATAGTAATAGAGATTACACATTATTGTTCTCAATCTTATTGTCTTGCAATTGTTTGCTATTGTCTATCAATGCGTTTTCTAATTTCTTTTGAGTGGTCTAGTTGACTATTTACCTCTCTGCCCAGATATATGAAACTTTGGGAACTCTGAAGGGTGATACCATTTATTTGTATGTTAGGTGTAACTTGTTCATGGCAGTTTTTGTGGAATACCAGAATTTTGGTTTTGGAAAAGTTAATGTCCAAGCCCAGCCTGTGAGTTTCTTCTGATATGTTCATCATATTTTTAGTTGGTCTTCTGTTTCTGCTAATACTACGGTGTCATCGGCATATCTTATATTGTTAATGATGATTCCATTGACTCTGGCACCTTCAGGGCGATCTTCAAGATAGGGTCTAATTATATGTTCGCCATATACAATAAATAATAGGGGGGACAAAATGCACCCTTGACGCACTCCTCGTTCTATGTTGACGTACTTGGTGTTTCCGTTCTCTGTTCGAACGCATCCTGTATGGTTCCAGTATGTATTACTTATGATAGAGATGTCATGTCCGTCCAACCCTACTTCTTTTAGCACCTTTTTTTATTTTTTTATTTTCCAATTGAACTTCCGAATTGTTGCAATTACGGCTTGGATTAAACGGTATTGTAAGCTCATAGTTTAAAATTTGTTAGTATGATAGAAGCAATTATCTCTGTGCTGAGGTATATATTATTTGTGAGATTATAAATTGGGGATTTCAGCTCATTTGAGGGCAGTCTGTTATAGATAGTTACCTAACCAACATCTATAGTGTAATTCTTAGTAGCTGTCAATAAAACCAACATTTTTACTCCACAACTTCAACGTTTTACTGTATTTATCATCGTCGATCAAGAAGAAGCGGACAGAGGGACTTATTAAAACGATTCGATCCTTATAACTACGTTCAAATCTGTCCAGTAGTTCTCCATCTTTATGCTTCATTTGCAAATCTTCTACCTCTTTATATTTTTCTTTCATCACTCTTCCTTAGCTACATTTATTTTTTTTCTCAATTTTCCTGTTAAGTTCTTTGTATCTTGTTAGGTTTTTGTTTTTTACCATCCGTCTCCCCTCCATAATTTGTAATATTTCGTCATCCAAGGTTTTGTATGTTTACGGTTTTCTTTCTGTATACTTTGTTCTGCTACCTTCAAGACAATATTTTCCCCACATGCCTTCAATGTTTTCTGCCGACTTTTACATTTAATCGACTGCTATTCCTGTTTTTCCACTTTTTTTTGTACAACAAAGCCCATTTTAAATAATCTTTAAAAAACATTCAAAAAGTTCGAGCATTAGCAGTTAGCTAATACCGATGCACACAAATTTGAACAGCTATATTACTGTTAAACTGCGCTTCGCCATAAATAATAAACATATCATGGTAATCACGAATCGAAAACATTTTAGCGATGAAACTAAACACGATTGTTCCAAAATATATGTTTACTAAAGTTGTGACGGTCTAAGTTTAGATTTTCGTACTGTACGTAGTTGACAGATTGCATACCAAAATATATTTTCGTTTTTTTTTTGGTCAAACGGTTGAATTTGGAAAAAAATGTATTAACTTTTAACTGTGACTTTTTTGCTCTAAATGGTGCCATCTACCTATATTATTATTTTCGGGGACAGCCTATTTATTAATGTATAAGAAGTATTTTAATGTGGCTTAGAAAGCTTATGGTTCTACGGTGTTCATATTTTTTGGGAATATTTTCTTCGGTAAGGGTATAAATATGGAGCTTAGCCGATTATCTCGTTTCATTAACATTTTTGAACTAATTCTGTCTAGATTCGATGTAGTTTTATTCTTTCAAAGATTTTTGAATGACCATTTCTACTACTTTGCTCTTTTATAGACCAGATCCCCTCTTCTTCCTATGCAGAATTTCTTCCTCAGATATTCTGTTCCTGTTATATATTCTTCTATATTTTTCTTTTAACTTTTAACTGTTTACCATATCGCGCTTCCTTCATTTCTTTGTAAGATATTAACCCTTAACTACCATGGCCAAAAATAGTAACATTTGTACCATGGCAGGGTCAAATTTGACCCCCATTGTTTTTTGTTTAAAAAAATATTCTTTTTTTAACTTGTTTTATTTTAAATTATTTTGTTTACAGCTACTTTTATATTTATATAAAAATAAACGAATTAGGTATATTTTATTTAAAAAAATACTTTGTATTCAGTCAAATTAACATAGCTATGCACTTTCTCGAATTATAAGAAAAATAATAACAATGTGCAGTTTTTTTATATCCAATGGTAGAATCTAGGTATCATAGCTCCTACCTAAAATGAAAAAATCGATTTAGATTTCGTATCTCAAAAATGACAAGCATGATTTTACCTTAATTTTCAACACAGCTTATGCATAACGTCTGTATGCGGGATATTTTTGCAATAAATCTCGACATTATCGCACAATGAGCTTCTTTCTTTTGGTTTTTGGAATATGGACATATTGAACACCTTCCCCTCTTTTTTCGTCGTTGTGGCTCTGGATTTGCGGCAGGCATTGGTTCCTGAAGTCCGGAAACTTTAAAAATGGCACTACGAATTTCTCTCGGTAAACAAGTTTGCTGAGCTCAACGATTTAAATGGGCCTTAATAAGTTCTTGACCTAAAGTGGTTAGAAACAATCTCCTTTCCATTATTGATTTGCTGTCATTACGTTAGCATTTAATCCTGCAATGTCCGAAATGCGAAACCATATTACTTGAGGCCATCTACGAGTTCTTCTGCCAGTTTTATAGCATGCACATTTCTTATCCAATGAATCCACCCCACCTTTTGTCTCGTTGTAAAAATTTATAATCTCTAGCTTTCCATTAATCATTGTATTGGAATGATGCATAGTTGACACTAACAACACTGCACAATTTTTCTTAGAAACAAAAGATACAAGGCTCTCGCTTCGTGTAAAACCAAATAAGGTAGAATTAGGTGGCCTGTTTTTTTGGGGTTGAAATTCAGCAGGAACCTCTCTTTTATTTCTTTTTAGAGTTCCAACAAATGAAATTTTATGGCTTCTCGGTTCTTTTATGAGCTCAATGGACGAAAACCAATTATCTGCTGTTATGTTTCTATATGTACCAGAAATTGGTGGAATAAGTGTCAAAACATCTAGGGTGCGAATGGATAACTTTTTTGGATTTGCTCTGCGTGTATCTTTTTCATATATAAAACCATTTAGCAAATAATGTGTCTTAGAGTCTACTAAACACTGCATTTTCAGACCGTATTTGTCTGGCTTATTTTTAAGATACATCCTGAATTGGCACCTTCCTCTAAATGCAATAAGCATCTATTGTAAGATCTATTGTGAGATCTTCACCACAGCTATAATTGGACTGGCAATTAATTATAAACATATTAAAAATATTGGATATAGCTACAAGTTTATCTCCGTGCACAATACGTTCTTGCCTAGTAGCTGAGTCGTCAAAACAAAGGCTTCCAAGCAAAAATCGGTTTAGTGACATGGTTGCTCGAAATATATCACGGCCAGTACCATTCGTAGCAAATAAAGGACCTTAAATCTTCATTATTGGATTTAAATACTCCAGCTAAATATAATAAGCCTAAGAAGGCCTTTAATTCAATGTATGTCAAGATGATTGGTATATTGACACGATAAATTGTGTAAATTATATTTAGAAGCCATATTAGTTATTCGTTCATTGGTTTTCTCGAGAATTTCTTGCAATATATCGTGGCTAATAATACATTCCCAAGCATCATCTGGTTTCTCTGGCATACTAGCTCGAGCTTTTCCAATAACACCAGGTAAATGACTAATTAAATTATGCTTACGTGTACGAGAAAAGGTGGGAGAAGTTTTAGACTACTTGTACCTATTTTTGCCATAAAACACATCCCTTGAGTCAGCTATATCACTTTCTTCACCCGAATATTCACTATCAGTTTCGGAATTATTAATTTGCCAATTTTTTTCGTCATCATCGTCCCATTCCTCTTCATTGTCTGTTTCGTGATCACTGTGTTCACTAGCCTGGTCTAAAACTCACTGTCACTATCTAGTCCATTGTCCATAATTTTTTGTACCTCCTCTTCAAGTTCTTTCTGTGTCAGAGGACGTTTATTGCGACTACACCCCTCCATTTCAAATTACTCGTTAATTGCACTAGAAACACTTATACCATAAGCGGGTCAAAGTTGACCCTATGCGTGCCTAACTCTGCAGTAGTAACAGATAAACTAACGGAATTTTCGTAGATCGATAAATTACCTACCGGTCGAAGATTAGCAGAAAGCGCACAATGCTCAATCTATGTTTCGGTAGCGAAACTTGGCATTAAATACGCGGGGGGTCAATCTTGACCCCGCCATGGTACTTAAGGGTTAAGGTTTTTTTTTTTTACTACCATCTTTCTAAGATTTTAGTATGCCGATAGAAATAATATAAATTACCGATTGCTAAACATTTGGGCGGGAGAAAAAGTAACTGCTTTGTCCTGGATTATTGTAGCGAAGGTCTCAAATTTATGAAACATTACATAGAGCAATTTAATATATTTTAATAAAATTCATAAAAAATTTCATTTTTAAACCAAATTTCTTATTTAAGATAAGTTTTACCCTTTTAAACTTATAAGAACTAGTTAAGAAGTTTAATATTGTCCTTAGGTTTGGAATTTTCTAGTAAAAATATAATATACCAATATTATCCTCAAAAAAAATTGGTTAATTGAATAACTCCGTGCATAGAACAGTTTGCGTTGTTTGTTTACCTCGAAATAACGAGTAGGTAAGTAGATGATTATGTTAATATATATCGTTTTTGCTATTTTGCGACCAGTGTTCTGTGCGGTAGCTGTTAGTTCAACATCGTGAAGCTCGAATTGCAGTGGGGTGCGATAATTACTTTTTGATTTTTATTTTACACGTGGTGTCCGGAGAATGAAAAACTGTCAAGTTCAAGGTAGATTGTTACATTTCCTCATAATATTTAAAACTATTTCGTGGTTTGTTATTATGGTTTTGTTTATAAACAAAAAAATTTATAAAAACATACACTCCTTCTTTTATATAGTATAGTAGTCCATGAAGTTTTATAAATTTTTTTATTTAATATTTTCGATATGGTTATGTAGCTACAAAAATCTTCTTTTATTCTATTTTATCTTAATTTAATTTTATTTTTGTCCATGCATTATTTGTTTAAAATAAAGATTTTTTGCAATTAAATTAGATTAAAAACAATAAAATAAAAATAATTTTGCAATTAAATTCTTTTTTTAAATTAATAATTTTCAAAATTTAGCAGGTCAAAAACTAAAACTTCTAGATACTTAAAAAAATTTTACGTATAAAAGAGGATTCAAGACTTTAAACCCATTTTAATAAACAAAATAATAAGCTTTTTTTTATATATTTTCGAAAGTTTTTATTTTTGAGTTAAAAATAGATTTTATTGCTTTTACTATTTGGTAGCTTTCACATTAATTTCTAAATAACATTCACTGATTGTATTCGTAATTTTTCATAATCTATATATTATATAGTACTTAAAGTTTAAAAAATTTTTTGAATTTATAATAATGATAATTACAATAAATATTACAACATAAATAATTTTATGCACAAATCATCCTTATAATAAATGAATATGCACGATAAATAAAACTAGTTTTACGGTAAATCATTTTTAGTTGTTTAAAGGACCTATAAATTTTATTATTATTATTATTATATTAATTATATTATTATATTAGTATTAAGTATTTGCAAATGCTATTTCCTCGATTTAAAGAAAACAACAACATCAAAATTGGTTGAATAGAAGCGGAGATACTTGAAATTTTTAAACGCAACGCGATTTGAACGCATACAATAAATTTAGTATCAGTTGCGATGCCGCCTGCTGTTAACTGCTTTTAATTGACATTTTAGCTAACTTATAATATTCTGCAGCTAATGTTAATTTGTACCGAAGTTTGTATCGTAAAGGTTTTTATTCAAAGAGCATATTTTAGAACTTTATACTTTAATTGTAAATTTTGACTCATTTTTTATTCTTTCTAAAATTAAAATTATTTATAAGCTTAAATATAAATTTTTTCCTTAGGTTCTTCTAATCAACGAATTTAAATTTTTCAAAATGGGTTTGATATCTTAAATGCTGTTCTATATGTTTTAGTTTTTGACTACTAGATTTCAATATTATTTTTATATGATGAACATATTAAAGAGATTTTTTCTCATAATATGAAGGTCTTATGTTTGATTTTAGTATACAAAATAAACTTGGTATTTTTTAAATAATAATAATAATTCTTAAGAATTGGAAATTATTCTTCTGTAAAATTTAATTATAGAACGTTTATCTCTTATATAAAATTATTCTAAAACCAATAACTCTTTAGACAAATGCCTACTAATAGTTCTAAAGCCTACATTATTTGACAAATGAAATTATTATTTGTCGTAATATTTTGGAGCAATTTATGCCAAGAACTGCGTTTATCTGCTTCACACCCAACTCAAATCAGAAACCCTCTGGACTACCTGCCTTAGTTTTAATGGTAACTCAGACATATCAGATCGAAGACTAAAATGGTTTAGTCAGTATTCTTGAAATGCGTTACTGGAACGACTTTATTAGAGCAATTCATTAGATCAAATAAAATTTAATTTAAAAACACCTGTCAGAATAATAATGATAGTATCATCTGTCTTTAATGTCACCATACAATCCATTATATCTAATCAAAGCTTGAGAAAACTGATGATATTATTCTGACAAAGTATTCGGTTTTACATTTAGTTTTTGTAATTTTAGTGCTTTGTATGCTAAGAAATCTAGTAAATATATTATTTTAAACTACAAATGATGAATCGTCAATATGTTATTAACTTTATATTCTTGCCATTGGTCTCTATACGCATTTCCTTATATATATGCCAAATCCTGTATTTTTAATATGATATTGATATTTATTTATCTTAATATTTAATGATCTTGCAGTGCCACCTAAATAAAAATTGTGACATGCACAAGGTTTTTTATACATATGTTATTATTATTTTCGTCAAATTCTTTTTTTATAAATGTTTCAAGATCTTATTCGATGTTTTGCTTTCTTTGTTTCTAAATTGTAACTTGAATTATAATTTAACTATATATATATATATATATATATATATATATATATATATATATATATATATATATATATATATATATTGTTATGATATGTAAAATCGATAAAAATATTGGTTTGATTAAAATATTTCAAAGTTAAAAAAAACATTAAAATATTTCAGATAAGTAGGATAATAACCAACAAACATTTCGAAGAAGGAACGTTTTTAAATTTTTGGATTACCTGTATTAAACAAAATGTAAGCTATGCATAAATTATTTCTTTTGTTATACTATACTTGAGTGACCCGCATAATTTTAAGTGAAATCCAAAGAACAATTGAACGGGTTTTCCAAATACATTAAGCAGTGATTAAAGACAATAGAAGAGATTTGAGAAAGAGGTTTTTGTTAGTTTTTTAAGAATTGTAGAAAAATATTATTTGTAAATAAGTTTTAGGAAATTTTATAATTATAGGTAAAAAGTTGTTTGTTATCGAAGTGAAAAAATGGGGAAATTGTGACGAGTTTTGATTGGCGGAGATTCAAAAAGGTGGGATAGGTATGTAGGAATGAAAGTTTAGCTAGATTAGGGAGTGAGAAAAGATAGACAGTTGGTTTCCAAGGGTGCAAGGCGAACGGCCGTTGTTCTCGGGTAGTTTCCCAGAGGTAGGAAGCAGTAGCAGTGAAAGTTTGTGAGTTTTCGTGTAGTTAGTGTATCTGACAGAAGCTGATCCAGTAAAATATTGTAAGTCATATTTTTCTACTTATATTCCAAGAGTCACTGTTCAGGCCAACGAGAGGTTCAGTTTATCGTAAAGAAAAGATATTCCAAGAGTCATTTTTCACTCAGGCCAACGAGAGATTCAGTTTATTGAGAGAAGAAGAAGCTAGCATAATTTGAACGATTCGTGCATTTGAAAGAGATCATTAAGGACGAGATACTTGCAATAATTTATTGTAAGATTGCTGATTACTTAGGGAGCGGCCACGAGAAAATAGTATAGTCTACAAATAACAAGGATTTGGACCACTTATCATCAGAGAGAGATAGTTTTGTTTTCTGCAGTTTTTCTTTCATCGATAACACAATTTTTACACTTAATTTAGAAAGGATATAAATATTTTGATTAGGAGATTTAGAGTAATACTTGGATTTGAGATTTCAACTAATATTGTTTGTACCATTGATTTTGATTGTTCACGTACGTAGAACAAAATTTTGAGAATTATTATATGAGATTTTGTTTATCGAAAACATTTTTAGTGTGAATTATTTCATTATTTTTATTTCAATATATAGTGTTAGATCATATGTGTTTTTTATTATTCCGGTATTCTTTGGACCTTACCTTTCACATGTAATAGCATAGATATTGAAGCACGAATAAAACCCTGAGATAAGAGAATTAAAAATTGTGATAGAATCATAATCATATCATTTAAATAATTTAATTAATCAAAAAATTAGTTAGCTAATTATTGTTTGGTGCACCAAGACGTTAAATATCACAATAATATATATATATATAAATATATATATATATATATATATATATATATATATATATTATATATATATATATAGTTTGCTGTACACTTTAGTTTCATACTAAGTACCTCCTTTGAGATGAAAACGTTTAAAAAAGGATAATGAGTGATTGTATTCCTTCTGTTTTTCTTCTTCTTTTTATGTAGACATAACTCTGTCTATTTTTCAATGTGCCTCCAGTAAGCTGTCGTTCTATCGTTTTCGTGGTCTTCCTACTGATCGCCTTTATATTGAGGAACCGCCTCTTGTCGTCTTTATTACTCTATTTTTTATCATTTGGCTTATATGATTGTTTCATTCTACTCTTCTATTTTTTTCCCAGTCCATAATGTTCTCCCCTTGCAAGTGTTTTGATCTCTGCTCTTTCTAACATCCTTTTTATCATCTAAAAATCGTGATTCATCTGCAACCTGGGCTTCTTTTTTTTATTAACGTGATCTTCCACTTCTGTTTCGAGCTTTCCGTAGCTAGATAATGTCATGCCTAGATATTTAAACTCAATCACTTGTTCTATTAGCTAACCTTCTAGGTTGAATTAACATCTTAGTATATTTGCTGTTAAAACCATGCATTTTGTCTTTTTTAGGGAAATTAACGTTTAAATTTTCTGGCGGTTATATTAAATTGGTGCAGCATACGTTGTAAATCATTTTCACTTTTAGAGACTAGTATTGCGTTATCTGCGTAGCAGATTATTTGAAGTTGGTTTCCTCCCATTTGGATCCTTTTTTAGTTCTTACTTTTTTATCATTTAATCCATAATAAGGTTGAGCAGTAGATGACTCGCTGTGTTTTCCTATTGCCAGCTTCAATAGTCTTCTATTACTTTTACTTTTATTGTGTTGTTTTGGTAAATATTTTCGACCGTTTTTATTACTCCTAGAGGTATCTCTCTTGCGTACAATCAGTGGATAACGTTCTTTAATTTGACGACCCTGCCACACGCCTTCGCCACACGCCTAAGGTCCACGAAACATAGATATGTCAGAATTTTGTATTCTAATGATTTCTCTTGCACTTGTCTCATTATAAATATAGCGTCGGTATATGGTATTACCGTCCTAAAACTTTGTTGTTCTTCTACTAGTGTTATAATTTCATTCAGTTTATTTGTTATCAGATATCACTTTGGTTGTTAATTTTAGTGTTGTGTTTAATAAATTAATTCCTCTGTAATTTTCCGGGTCTGATTTGTCTCCCTTTTTAAAAAGAGGTATGAGGATGCTTGATCTCCATTCTTGAGAAATTCGGTTTTGTTCTATTATTTTTTGGATTAGTTTTAGTA